GCTGATAACCGGTGCGGGTATGTCATGTTAATAACGTTACTACAAAAACGTTTTCAACATGCAACGTAAAGTACCAGAAAAATCAGGAGTGCCGGCAACCACTGCAGCTATTTCATGTTAATGTTGTTACTCGGGTGCTCCCATTCTCCTGGATCAGCTTCGCGAAAAATCCGCGAAAAGTTGGCAAAGAAAAAGATATACGCTGCCTGCATGAGGTAGCCAAGAAAGGTATATTCTGCCTTGAAAAGCAATACACAGCAGATGTGCTGCCAGGTTGATTCTCAACCGTAAAAGCAGCTGGTGTAGTGGGCAGCACGCTGCATCTGGTACAAAGAGGAGTGTTCGGTTCCCTACTGCTTCATAACTGTTTTTGCACACTTCTAACTTGTCCTACTTGTGTGCGCAGCCTGTTGGCCTTTCTCTTGTTAGCAAGCATCACCCACTACTGCGTTATGTTCACTGCATCCCCAGGAAATTTTAAGACATACATGTGCCTCTGGGCGTCCAGTAGTATTGATAAATTCGGTTACGTAGCAAATGAGCTTTTCTTTTCCTTCGTACGTTTCGTGTACACCCAGGAATGCCTCTCCGCTTTGCTCCCATTGAACTGCAAATGCTTCGAAAAAGTACAAGCAACTGCTCGCGTAATCCAGGAATTTGCTTCTCAGAAGCCGCATGATACATTTTTGATATCTATTTATAAGGAATTCAGAACAGAGGAGAATGAAGAATTTACCAGTTGCTTCCGTATGGCGTAAAGAAATGCAGCAGTGAAACAAAAGATGATCAAATTCGAGTCGTTGGAATCAAGCTTGAGTCGCAGGTTCTTCCTTTTCAGAAAAAAGTTCAAAATATTGATTCAGAATTCTTGGAATTTTGTATAATTTTTTATATATATATATATATCTTGAAAATGGGGAAAGATTAGCTGTTTGGGTTGACTGTTATGTGACGCACGTCCGTCCACAGCAACTGTGGAACCACTGACTATTAAAAATCACTAACAAGTGAATTACAATGAAACAACAGCTGGTTAGAAGATGCTAAATAAAGCAGCGCTGCCCAAGCTATCAGTCTGGTTATCCAACTTCAGTGATGTCACTGGGGTACGCTCACTCATCGGATGAGACTTTGCCAGGCCCCTCATTTCAGGGCTGCATAGCTTCAGTTAGCACCCATTGCTTGTTCGGCGGATGTGCGCTATATCTTCGGAAACCGCCCGAGTGGTCGTTTATTTTTTGGCGAGTATCACTCGTTAATGTGCGCAATGTCCATTAGTTATGCGTTTTTGCCGTGCAGCGCTAGAGCGCTGCAACAGGCAGCAAAAACGCATATTGCAA